GCCATCCCCCCTGGGGGGTGATTTCTCGCTTTCTGTCTCTCTGTCTCTCTCTGTCTGGTGAGCTCACGCGCCCTATAGTAAAAAAAACCTCTCCAAAAAAAAAACCTCAAGAATAGGGCCAGGTTAGCCTTTTGCGTGTTGTTTAATATGGCCTGTATTTGTCAGAATGAATACCCTTGGCTTAGCTCATTCCTAAGATCCCAGGACCAACAGTTGGTGTAATGACTATGTTGCTGGACTCTCATGTAGTGGACCATGGTTCGAGTCCCAGACTTGGTGGCTTAAACTCACGCCGGGCATGTGTGCCCAAGATCCCGAGAGGAGAATGGAGGAGAAGGGATTACAGTGTGGCCATCCCCCCGGGGGTTGATTTCTCACTTTGTCTCGCTGTCTCTCTCCTTACGGCAAGTGCCCACGTTCTATAGCAACAATAAATAAATAAATTTTTTAAATAAATAAAATTCTGGGGCTGGCAGGTAGCTTGGTGGTTAAGGGTGCTGGACTCCCACATGGCTGACTCTGGTTTGAGTCCTGGAACTGGCAGCTTGCTCTCTCTCTCTCTCTATCCCTCTTTGGTCACATTGAAATAAATGAATGAATAAATAAAGTTAAATAAAATAATTAAAATAAATAAATTTTTAAGATCCCTTCTTGCTGATCTGCCGAGTTTTCCGAGCAGTGATGCCTGTCCCCAGCCACAAGACTGTTGTCCAGTCTTATTCTGGGGTGTGGCAGGGTAGACAGTCCCCCTGGAATGGAATATAGCCCTTACCTGCTCTCACGCTGCTTTCCCTGTATTGGCTCTTCATTTTTCTGCCAAATAGTTGTTTTCACTTTCAGGAACTAATTGTCCAGCTGCTGCCCATTGGGGTACAGAGGGGCTCCGGGTACCCTCCCTATAAGAGATGTTGGATTCATTTTAAATGCAGCCTGTTGGGTTGTCTGGCCTGTACCCTCCCCTACAGCGGTTACCCCAGCAGACTGGTTCCGTGTGGCCTTTGTGCAGTAAGGCGTCCCGTTCATGAACTGTGCATATCACCTGTGTCCCTGCACCAGCTCAGACCAAGAAGAACTGCTGTCACCTCCCCTCCCTGCCCTGAGGTCCTGCCTGTGACTATAGCTCAGGAATTTGGGGCTGGCTCTGCCCTTTCTTTTTCTTTTCTTTTTTGTTTTTGTTTTTTTCTTTTTTTGAAATAGGTCACAGGGCTTGCCTGAGAGAGGCATAGAGAGGGAGGGAAAATGAGAAAGCACCCCTTGGGGAAGGCCACACTGCAACTTCTTCTCCATTCTCTTCTCAGGGCTTTGGGCACACATACACATGCACCTGACATTTTTTTTTAATAATTATTTTAACTTTATTTATTTATTTCAATTTCACGAGAAAGAGATAGAATGAGAATGAAAGAGATGGAAAGTGAGAAAGCAAGCTGCCAGGTCTGGGACTCGAACCTTGGTCAGCCATGTGGGAGTCCAATGCCCTTCAACTGCCATGCCACATGCTGGCCCCCCTGGCATGTGTTTCAAGCCACAAGGTTTGGGACTTGAGCTGCTCATTCGGCCACATGGGATCACCACCTCCACACCACCTGGCTAGCCCAACCGTTTCACTTTTATACCCGTTCCTCTAGTGCCACTCCATTGTTAGTTCAGGACTGAGTCAGGCCCCTGCCAGGACTTGTAACTTGGTCCTTGTTAGCTGTTGGCCCCCATCTGGCCCCAGGGTCGTTAGGTCAGTGTTATTACAGTGACATGTTCCTTGGGGACCCTGTTTGTTTCCATTTGGGCAGCCAATGAACTGGAATCCAGCTGCCTGCCTCACCAGAGTCCTAGGCCTTTGGTCTCCCACCCAGGTTCAATTCCCTCGGGAGGAAGTGAGGGAGGAGCATTGATTCAGAGTCACAGTGTTCCATTTCTTGTTTAATCCAATGCAGGATCATTACTGTCTAGGACCTTGTAAAATCTGCTTTTTTTTCTTAGTGATTCAGTATATTGGTTATAAGGAAATATTGAGCCAACCCATAGCTGGTGGTTAAGGCAGCTGGATCCTATTTGGCTAACCACACTGTTCAAGTCTTGGACAATAGTGGCTTGAAAAACATTCCAGGAATATGTACATGTGTACTCAAAATCCAGAAAAGAGGGAGAAGCACA